GGTCAGTTCCCCTGCTCAACTGATTGTGGGTTCCTATGCTTGAGAGGGATTAAGAAATTGAAACCCATTTCAGTATCACAATAAAGAAGGCAGCATTATTAAAGGGGTAATTTGCAGTTGGATGAATGGATGAGACTGTTCTATTGATCACTTCCCATCGGATTTTCTCCTGGACCCGTGGTCTCCAGGTGTCACTATTGAGCTACCAGCCCACAAATCCACAGTTACCTGGGGGGCACTTGCGCTTGCCATTCCTCTTCCTCATGATCCTTTTGATTTCCTGTAAAGAAATTCAGAAGAGCAGGTCACACTAAGTAAATCACAGTTCACACAAGACCAAATCAGTGTCCAGTCATAGCACAGGGACATAACTATCCTCAGTGTGAGAATGTGATATTCTGACAGGAAGGTTCTAATGTGCTCTAGATCAAGTCTTGTCTGAAGTAGATGAGCCTGCTTTCCAGACCCATGGGACAGAATATCCCTCATCTGATAGAACTTAATCACATATCCTGTGACCTGTGTCTGTGCAAACAAACAAAACTATTCCCCATGATCTTCAAAAACGGCCTCGACTACCCTTCAGAAGTATTGGTGCAATACTGATTTACCTCATCATATAGCCTGGTTGATCAATTGTTAGAGAATCTCATCTTTCTCCTGGTATCAAAGTGACTGCCTAGCTAAGACAAGCTGACTCAAAGGAGACTAAGACAGGCCGAGAAGAATGAAAGCAGGGAACCAACATCGTTAAACATGTAATCAAGGCTGTCCTTGACAGTGGCCTTGGGTGAGAATAGAAAATGCATGGACATTATGAAGGGGCACAAATTCCATCATTAGAGGTGACAAGAGACATAGGAACTGAGCTAGGCGGCCTCACAGATACCTCCGGTACAGCTCCGGTACACAGGAGGCTATGAATTTGTCCCACCTGCCTGTGGTCCAGTAACCTGATATTGGGGCCAGGGAGAAGTGGAAAGCTCTCTGCCCCTCATTCTGCAGCTGAGGACGTTGCCTGCTAGAGAAGCAGCAGGCAGCCCCAGGGGCTCTAGGAGGTGATATTGAGTGGGATGGAGAGTGAGAATGCACACGACCCAGGGTTTTAAGGAAATCTGAGCTGAAGTGGATCCCTGTGAGATGGAAACTGAGGACATGGCTGTGGACATGAGTGCAGATGATGAACTAAATGGATTTTCATAAAAGAGACTCATGTGAATACTTTCCGTGTGAAAGTCGCCCACTGTTTTAAAAAGTGAGCAGAAAAAAGAAGAAGGAGCTGGACATGCCATGAGACTGACTTGTGGGCCCAGGTTTGATGCTGTTACTGAATCTGCCTCACAGGTTGTCACTGAAGGTGACGGATAGTGGAGATTTGGCTTCATGGGGGATGGGGAAGAAGAGGAACAAAACCGGCAGTGGAGTATGTGCGAGGAACCAAGGGAAGTGGTGTCTCTAGAAAGCAGACAGCGTAACAATTGCTCTACTTCAGAGAAGGCATAGTCTGTGAAGTCACTTTCTAAACTTAAATTTGGCAGAAAGATAAGTGGATTAGATAACATCTATTAATAGTTTTATTGAACAATTGTTATTGAATCAGGCTCTTTGAAATTATACTAATTAATACTTTGAACAATGATTACAGGTCGATAGCACTTTTTAGGTAGCTCCGATGAGAAAACAGAGATTTACATTCTTTGGCCAAAGTGAGCAACCAGAAAGAGGCAAACCCAGGACCTCAGAGCAGATTTTGTCCTAAGCCCCAGACTCTCGCTCACCTCACTGTGTTGGAGCATTCTGGATTTCAACTTGACCCTGAGTGAGCATGGGGAGGCCCCATTCTCTGCTCCATCCATAGCACCATGACCACCAAGACCTGGATTAGATCTTCCTATTCCTCTTCCCTTCCCTACCTTGAAAGGGACATTGGTTCCCAGAATCAGCATTGGCTGTGAAGCTGCAGGTGGTGGAGGAAAGGCCCCGCCTGGCTAAGTCATTCCCACAGTCGATCCCTTGATCCGGCTCTAGTCCCAAAGAAATGGGCAACTGGGTACTTGATTCCAGCTGTGTCTGTGAAGCCTGCACATCTGACAGGTAGTAGCTCCAGTCTCCACTGCAAGTCCCTTGGGGACAGGTCTCCTGGGTGGGAGCTGAAAGGAGAAGGGGCCTCAGTTGGAACAGTCTGTTTTCGCTTTCTTAAGTGCTACGAGACCCCCATACCTGCTGTCTCTGCTGCTCACTAAAGCCTTCCAGTGACATAGGCCATACAGACCAACATCATGGAAATGTAGGTGATATCACCTTGCCTGTGGGTGCCAGGGACACTGACAGGGACTGGGGTTCCAGGGCTAGGGTGTCCCTGAATTGAAATACATGTGCAAAACTGCCTGCATGTGTGGGTGGCCAGAGAAGAGGTAATGGCACCGTTGAAGGCAGGTGGTTAGGAAGATCATTTCGGGAAGGAGAGTTTCCAGGTCTTAAAGAAGAAGGTTTGTGGTGCAAATATATCTAGATCAGCTACTGTGGGCAAGAGATTGCCGAAAGCCCTAAGTCCTTTCCAGCTTTCATGGCCGCAGCCTGCTCTTGTAAGAAGGAGCCAGGTGACAGAGGAGTCACTTGGGACAGGAGTAGAGGAAGTTTCACCCTCTGAATGTATGTGATCAAAACTATATCCCAGAGGCAGATTGAAAACAGACTCAGTTTTCAGTCTGTTTTGAAAGCTGTCTCAGCAGCACAGGTTGCAGAAAGAAAACATGTGGAGGCTGCCTGGGAAGACACTGGAGCTTTGTGGCCTTCAGTTTGGAGTACTCACAGGCTACATCCAGAGCACAGCATGTGAGCTGATCATCAAATGAGGACAAGGTGCCGCTATAAGGCTGGTGGCAGTCAGACAGGTCACGTTGAATTGAAGGAGTCAAGTAAATTTCATCCAAGGAGTCCTCTGAGAATTCCTGCTCATTCAGCTGTGGCAGCTCCTGGCTCAGCCTGGAGCAAAGAAGACAGAAGATGAACACTGGGCAGGACCAAAACCAGCGCACCCCGCCGGTTCCATAGACAGGACCACAGGACAAGCCAATACAGTGCCCTCATAACCATTCTTCCCTATCTCAAGCAGGAGACAGAGCGGCAGGTGCTCAGTGCACTGGGCGGACAATGAGCTGGGGAGGAAGGAGATGGATGGATCCCTGTGGGAAACTGCCAGGACACAGTGCATTCAGCGCTTCTGCATACATGTTGTTGAAACAAGCATCAGAGGCTAATTGACTACGGGTTATGGAATTTTCACAGAAAGAGCTCCTTTATCCTCAACATCACTTGTCCTCAAAACTGTGAGCATGACGTGAGCTATTTTTATTCCCTTTCCTTCTATCAAATGCTTGCAAACATGCTAATGCCACAGAGGTAGACAGCAGGAGATATCAGGAAATCCCTGAGTTCGGTCAGTTCCCCTGCTCAACTGATTGTGGGTTCCTATGCTTGAGAGGGATTAAGAAATTGAAACCCATTTCAGTATCACAATAAAGAAGGCAGCATTATTAAAGGGGTAATTTGCAGTTGGATGAATGGATGAGACTGTTCTATTGATCACTTCCCATCGGATTTTCTCCTGGACCCGTGGTCTCCAGGTGTCACTATTGAGCTACCAGCCCACAAATCCACAGTTACCTGGGGGGCACTTGCGCTTGCCATTCCTCTTCCTCATGATCCTTTTGATTTCCTGTAAAGAAATTCAGAAGAGCAGGTCACACTAAGTAAATCACAGTTCACACAAGACCAAATCAGTGTCCAGTCATAGCACAGGGACATAACTATCCTCAGTGTGAGAATGTGATATTCTGACAGGAAGGTTCTAATGTGCTCTAGATCAAGTCTTGTCTGAAGTAGATGAGCCTGCTTTCCAGACCCATGGGACAGAATATCCCTCATCTGATAGAACTTAATCACATATCCTGTGACCTGTGTCTGTGCAAACAAACAAAACTATTCCCCATGATCTTCAAAAACGGCCTCGACTACCCTTCAGAAGT